GAGAGAGAGAGAGAGAGAGAGAGAGAGAGAGAGAGAGAGAGAGAGAGAGAGAGAGAGATAGTTTTTTTTTGACAACACACCCTGCTAATCTGCATGTACCTGAAGACAAGAAATTGGCATCTACCAGGGATTGGGAGTCTCATTACTTACCTGATTGTTCATGGAGTGACAGAGCAGAACTTACGTCCGTATTCTCCTTATCGTATTCTCTTCTCAGCTGTTGAACAATGAGTCTCTCCCCAGCCGTCGAACAATGAGTGACAAGTAAAATTCAAATTGTGTGTGTCGAGTACAACAATCTTTCCGTTTCTCCAATACGAATGATCATCTTGTCTTTTGGAAATTGTTATGCAACAGGGGAAATTGGCCACAGGTTATCAGAGAGAGAGGCGGTACACAGACACACAAAACCCAATGTTCTCTGCAATTTGACAAGTAACAAGATTGAGGACGAATCATGGCAAATCGCCTGTTGACTGACGTCGGTCAAAAGCCGCAGCACCTACTGGACAAAACGGCGCGGGCCTGAAAAGCCTTTAAGTTATACTTCGGGGAAGACCTCCCCCACTGAACATCTTTTGGGAGGAAAATAGAGAGAGCAAGGATTTCAATGCAGCTCATGCCATCACTGCTGAGTGCGTTGTGGATGCCTAAGGGACTACCGAAGGCACATGCCACTTGTTCCATTTACGCCATCCTGGGCTGTCCACACACTGTGTATATGGTCCTGGCTGTACAGTGTGATCCAGATGACCAAATATTTAATATCCGCCTTTTGTTCATTCTTGATAGACCAAGGACCAAGGTGAGAGGGCAGTGATCCCTCAAGTTGCGTCCCTCTATTGTCCTTGACGAAACGGAAGTCCTCGGAGAACGGAAAGATATCTGCTTGACCGCCCTCTTCCTTCTCTCCCTTCTCTTCCCCCCCATCATCCCCCGTTTCCTCCTCGCCTTGCTGTCTCATCATTTCTTCAGGTGTCCTTCTCTTCTGTCTTTGCCTCCTCCTCCTCCAGCTCCTCCTCCCCTTGCCTTCTTCCTCTCCTTTTCCTGCGCGTCCTCCTGCCTGCTTCACTCTCTTCCTCAAACCTCCTGCCCCCCTGCCCCCCTTTTCCCTCCTGTTTGTGCTCACGAAGGCCCTCGTTCTCCACTCTATACTGATCCCTTGGGCATGTGACCATGTCCATCGCCACGCGGAAAGACATGAACCGGAGGGAATCATTCTCTGGCTCGCCTCCTGTGGCCCTCCCCAGTCGTAAAGATTCATTCACTGGCTCGTCTCCTCTGGAGAGCAGGAGTCAGCTGTCCAGTGATGGACTGGCACTCTTTGACGCCATGTTGCATGGATGGGAGATCGTGGGGTTTTCGCTTCCTCGAGAGAAATTTCCACTCTCCATCAGCGGGCTTTTCAACGACATTTTCGTCATCAATGCGTACCGCGGTACGCTGACGCCAGCAAAGATGTGTCTGATCGAGCTACCCAACTTCCATTCTCTTGCGGAAGCGCTGAGCCGGGTCAGCCACTCCGCAGATCAGACACTAGAGGAGTTCCGGCAGTACATCAAACAGCGAGCCATCTTCGTGCGTCGCATTCGTGATCAGTACGACGCAGACCTGCATGTCGTTCATCACTACGAGTTTGAGAGGGTAGCCATTGAGTATCCATTGTTTGTCCCATTTTTTTCTGCCGCAACCTCCAATCTGCATGATCAACCATTGACAGAGCTAAGCGAGGTCCAGTACGACCAAGTGGTGAATGAGATGCATCATCATGCGAAACGGAACCACACTTGTTTCAAGGCTGCATTTTTCTGTTTCGCTTTTTCTTGGTACGATGCCTCCAAGGATCCAAAGTCCTTCAAGCAGGCCATCTTTCCTGACATGTTGGGGAAACAGGTGTTCCGACGGGACTTCTCCAGAGAAATGGTCACGCAATTGCTGGTATACCTCCGAGGGAAGGTCATCGTCTTCAAGCAGAGCTTGCCCGACGATGAGATGATGTTTCGGCACTATGCAGCAAAGGGAATATCCACTTGGTTCTATAGGTTGGAGAAGGCGGTTGAGGAGAACTTACGATCCCGTGGTTAAGGACCAGGTGCAAGTGGACACTGATTCACGATCCCGTGGTTAAGGACCAGGTGCAAGTGGACACTGATTCACGATCCCGNCAAGTGGACACTGATTCACGATCCCGTGGTTAAGGACCAGGTGCAAGTGGACACTGATTCACGATCCCGTGGTTAAGGACCAGGTGCAAGTGGACTCCTCTGAATCAGTGACAAGGGTCGGAAAGATAGAAGGGAGGGGCCCACAAGGGGAGGAGCAAGAGGAAGAACCACGGGGGGAAGGCGGTTGAGGGAAAGTTACAATCCTGTGGTTAAAGCATCAGTACACCACATATCGGCCCGCGGGTGTCAGGATGAAACCCGCACCACTTCGGAGGCCGCCAACTTGTTTTTTTCAAGGGCGGGCATGGCCGCGCGGCGCCTCCGAGTTTTGCTTGTGGCAACAAAAAAATTCTGCAAGGCTGGGGCCGTGTATGAGCGGTTGAAGGACCAGGCGCAAGTGGGGGCTATATCTCTGTGCTAAGTTGGCGTGGCACTGGCCAGGCTACCAACGGGCCTAGCTCAGTTGGTACCCCCACAAACTGTTGAAATACGGACCCAAGTTCGAATCGAGATACAATCAGATGACACTGGCCATGCTAGATGGCGACGGGAATCGCACAGACAGACTTAACTCAGACATAGTACACGCACAACGTCAGGCCAACCCTGGCCTATCATTATGCCATTGCATGTGGACTGTGCTATGTGGCCATAACACAATAGCACATTATGATGCCATAGCATGCGGACATTGCTATGTGCTCTGTCGCCATAACACATAATAGCATATTATGATGCCATAACATGTAGACATTGTGCATCATACTACCATGTTTTTTTACTATGTGTGAGGCAATGTGGGGCTATGTGCTATGAAGTTCCAGCATAAACCATGCAAATCATACTCACGCTCGGACTTCCCTAGCCATATCTTTCTTATTTGCTTCTTCATCCAGCCTAACTTATCTGGAAAAAAACTGTCAGCTTATGATGAATGTGGTTTTGAGGGCGGCTGTAAGGTCACCTATAGTTATCGAAGCGCGCGACCAAACTATATATACGGATGCAGGAGCATTAACCCCTTTTCTTTGGGCTTTTGAAGAACGAGAAACTTTGTTAGAATTTTATGAAAGAGTTTCGGCAGCAAGAATGCATGCTAGTTATATACAACCACCGTGGACGGTGTGGAGTTTTTCCCCGAGTTCCCACAATCTCGAATTTAATTGAAGTGGCTCCTGAAGGTTCAGGTCTCCTTCCTTGCATGAGTAGTAGGAGTGCCTTCTCGCGAGTCGAGGGATTTGCATATCGACATCATCATGCATTTCGACATCGTCGTGACTACTAATATCGACCTGCCTGGAAAAAGAAGAGAACAGTTGCTTCTATGAAGATGGCAGCAGGACACTTGCTCATTACATGCTCTGGGGGGGAGGGTATCCCCTTGGATGAAGGATTGCCCGGCACCATTTACGGAGGGGCGCGGTGTGTTGCTGGGGGGATCTGGGAGGGTTGGCATGGGGTTGGGTACTTCTGTTCCGCATTCTTTGTTAGTTCGTGTTTTGGAGTGCGATGGACTCTTAACCTGGTTGGATGTCTCACTGATAGTCGATGGTCAGGTGGTGACCGTGTGATTGACAGCTGCTGCCCAATTGTTCAAGAAGAATGAACCGGAAGCGAGATTCGCCTCGCTAGAGTCGCTACCATGGTTGTTTCTCAACAAGAAAACACCGTTTGAACTCTCGGAGGTGCCACTGTGGCGTTGAGTGAGTGGCCTCGTCTGATTCAGGGGCAAGGATTGGAAAGATAGAATGGAGGGGGCCACAAGGGCAGGAGCAAGAGGAAGACCCAGGGGAGAGAACTCGTCAAGAGATTACGGGTTGGGTCTTCCACGACTGGACAACCCTTGACCCAATGGTTCCACTGGGCCCAGGTTCAGACTTCCCGGATCCTTTCCTTTCCCGCCTGCTGACCCAACGATTCGCCTGCCGCCTCTTGTATGGTACATCATCAGAGTTGGTAGCAGTTGGTAGCAGTTGGTAGCAGTGCCATTTGTGTTGCAGCTTTGTTCTAGGTAATATTTTCTGTCTGCTTTTTGCTTTTCCTTTTCCTGAAAAAACTCAAGATAATTGGTGCAGCGGCCGATCCTCTCGAGCTAGAGTGGGCGATGCTGCCTCAGCAGGGTAGGCTTGCGAACCAGGATCAGCTGGCCTTCTTAAAAATGTAGGTGAATGCAAAGACATACCTCCTCAGCTAGAACCGAGTTCGTTGTAGTGTGGAGAGAGAGAGAGAGAGAGAGAGAGAGAGAGAGAGAGAGAGAGAGAGAGAGAGAGAGAGAGAGAGAGAGAGAGAAGGGATGAGAGGAGAGTGAGACGTTGGATGTACTGGATAAATTTAATTTGTATTTCTGAAGGGATGCTGGACGTACCCCGGTTTGGTTTCCAGCACGTGACGCTGCACACAAACAGGCCGTAGCCATCAATTAGGCAGGCCTCGACCCAGGAGGTGGAAATGATCCAATTCTTTTTCCTTCTTCTTTCTTTCTTTAGTTCTTTCTTTATTTCTTTCTTTCTTAAAGTTTCTTTCTTTCTTTCAAAAGGGTGATGGCCTTGAGATATGGTCATCGAACTGACAGGACAGAGGTAATTCAGAGTTGTAGTTTTTTTTTTTTTTTTTTTAAGAGTTGTAGTATTTCATTAATGCGCTTCCAGTGAAGTTTGAGCTCAGGTCTGTATCTGTATTTCAACAGTTCAAGAGTGTACACTGTACAGTGTACACCGAACTGAGCTATGGCAGTTGGTAGGAAATGATCCGATTCTGGCTTTAAAAAAAAGACAGAAGAAAAACTCAGCATATACTCAGTCTGATGATGTGCAAGAGTAGGTGCCTGAGCATAATCTATTTTGTCGGAGAACGCAGTGCACCGTTTGGGGGCCCCTTTTTTTTAGTAGACGGGACGTGTAACGGCCTCGCCACACTGCTCTCCAAATGTGAAGAAGACAAAAATGTGGCGGGTGTATCTGGCCATGTTCTAGCGGAAAGTTCATTCCCATTTTGCACATTTCGAGAGTGGTGTGGCGATGCTCTAAACAGTTGCCTGTTTCCACCCCTCTAAATTAGAAGGGACTTTTTTTTTTTTTTTTTTTTTTTTTTTTTTTTTTTTTTTTTTTTTTTTGTGACGCTTTCAATACAAATTGAGTTTTGAAGGATATCATATTATAAATTTATTTTTTTTTTCTTTTTTTTTTTCTTTTTTTTTTTGTAATTTATCATCATATCTTCTTTCGAATTTGGATGAAAAGGGAGGCACAGTTACTGGCAAATGCTCGGTCCTTGTGTTAGCTGGTTAGCTGGGCCGCCACTGGCGGGCCCAACCCTGCACCCTAAACGCTATAGGGAAAGGGGCAAAGTTGGCAAAAATGCCCTTACCTCTTTTTTTTTTCTTTTCAAACATGCCCTTACCTCCCTTCACGGAAGAGAGGTAGAAAGCTATGCTGGCAGGGGTCCCCTGTATATAGCCTTAGGAGTAGTGGTAGGTAGTGAAAGGAAAAAAGATATGTTCCATGATGACATGATGACATTGCAGAAAGCCAGTTAAAATATGTGAGGTGAGAGAAAATATATACAGCTGTCCCCCGATGAGGAGAAGACAGGCGTTTTTTTCCTCCCCTTTTTTTTAAACGGAAAATAAAAAATTCGGATCATTTCTCCATTTATGCGTGTCATCCGTGCGCAGGGCCCCTGCTAATCTTCATTCTGTGTATCGTTCCAATTTTAACGGATGTTCCCAAGGACAGGATATCATCATATCTGCTTTCAGTGAAATTTGAAATTTGGTCAAGAAATTCACATTTTTTAAATTCACATGCATAAATAGAAAAAAAAAAAAAAAAATGGTCAAGAAAAGAAGAAAGAAGAAGTAGGTTGTAGATCTGTGGCGCTCAGCTGAGGAAAAGTGGATTAATGCAGGGACCTTGCGCACGAGGGCAACCAGGGCCAGAGACCCTTATGAAGAACATTCAACATTCAAATTTCAAACACTGGCTATTGTCACAGAGTGCCACAGCCAGAGCACTGGAAGAGCATATACTGACACCACCAAGGCTGTAATCTTGGACGTATCTGACTGCAATTACAGTCAGACGCATTAGTGGAAAAAGCCATGATGCTGTGAGTATGCCATCAGTGGGATGTGGTGGACCCCTCTTCACTTCTGAATGAACACCTTTTTTTTAAAAAAATTTAATTTTAATTTTAATTTTATTTTTTATTTTTTAAAACGCTCCGTCTATTGGTGGGGAGCATCACCTGCTGGAAACCAGGTCCAGCGTCCCTTAAATACATCATTTCTTGTCCCAAGACTGACTGACCTCAAGGGGGTCACCTTATCAGATCACCATGTTAGACACTCAACCTATAAGTCCCCCTTGGTTTTCTGAGAGCAGTTTTTTAAACAGACTGTTTACTGGATCCAACTGCTTGGCATCCTATCATCGGACTCCACTACCATCTGCGCACCTGAATAGAACACCCGGTAATAATGATAATGGTCGTATCTGAACTGAAATTTGCACCAAATATATGGCTATAATGACCGGGCGCTCTATTCGGGTGAAGACGGTAGTGCATTCTTCATCCCGGGGAGTTTGGGGGGAGGGGGAGGGTAGGAAGTGATCTGGAAGACCATGTTCTGGGCTAAGTGACTACTGTCTTCACCTGAATATAACGCCTGGTCATTATAGGCTTTACAGCTGTATTTGGGAAAACTTTCTGGCCAGATACGGCGATAATTACCGGGCGTTCTATTCGGGTGAAGACGGTAACCTGAATTCAATGCATGGATTTTTCGCATGTGGTCCTGCGTCCACTCTTTGCGATCAGCCCGCCCAGTGTTTCATCAACCAGGTCGCACCTTTTTTTTTTCTTTTTTCTTTTTTGTTGAAAAACTGCCTTCTCCTCATCGAGGGACAGCCATATATTTTTCTTTCACAAGTACTCCTAAGGCTATACAGGGGAACCCTGCAAGTATAGCTTTCTACCTCTCTTCGGTGAAGGGAGGGGGA